GAGCCCTGCAGACTTCTAAATCCAATGGTTAAGGAAAGTTCCAGAATATTCTGATGCAGTTTAACATGCTTTCCCTGGATTCAGACAGTGCTAATCAAATTGTAATGGGAGAATAACAGGTTAGGGTTCTGGAATTACCTCATCACTATACCTCCAGCTGTACATGGAAGAAGTGAAGAAAGTTCTAGAATGTTACAAGAGTGATCTGAGAAATAAAGGAAAAATAGCTACTTTTTTTAAGAAACAAAGGTCCTCCAAGCAAATCTGTCCTAACTGGTTTCTGGTCTTAGGTGAAAGCCCTCCAAACAGCAATTACTTTGGAAAATTTTTGTTAATAGCACATAATTATAAGACAGTTATATTATCATTTAATAATCAACCATGTTATATATATATATTTTTTTCAATGTTTTCTACATTAGGAGTTCCCCACCATATGATTTATCCTTTTCCCATGTATAACAATAATTACATGTCTCTCCCACTAAAAGGTTTTTCTTTTTGAGAAGTTTCCAAATCAGTCACAGGCACGTTTTAACTTCGACTAGTTTATTCAATTGATTTGTTTAGGTGATATTAATACTCATTTATTTCACTGTGTACTGTACAGTTTACAGATGTATAAGCTAATGTGATAATAAAATTCAAGAACTACTATTCTATATATGTTTTTCTCACAGTCTTAGGCCAGTCTCCTCTTTCTGAATGTTTGTCTACTGAGACTGAAAACACTTAGACATACACTAATGTTAATATATTGCAATAAAATTATTATTACAAATGGAGAAATTAAGATTCACATATATTAGGGAATTTATAATAGAATCTTTCTAATTACTCTGTATCTACAACAATCCAAATGCATGAGAGCAATTCACCATGACAACTATCACAAAAAAAGATACTGGTAAATGAAACACTCTTCATTAAAATAAAAAAGAGGGGCATTTTCCAGAATATTATTTTGATTAAAAAATTGGAGGAATGACCACCCAGAGGATCCTTACCTGTTCTACCAATAACCAGAGACCATAAAAAGGTATATACAATGAATGAGTTAAAGCTAAGCTTGACTCCTAAATTGGGAAACCAGGTAGAATGAAATGGATTCACAGCCTCATAGTAAGAAGGTAGACAACGTCATTTTCCTACACTAATGACATTCTAGGCACATATCTACATTTAAAAACCCAACAGATGTTCCTGAATGGCTGAGAAAATCCCAGTTACGTTTTCACATGGCTTAAACGACTGGTGAGGGAAACTGGCCAAATTACACAATTAATCTTCTATGAAGTGTGCCCAATGGATGAAATTCTGTATTGTCCTTTAACATAATTTTCTTCCTACTCTTGAGAATAGGACAAAAAAAAAAAAACAGCAATACATGAGCTGAATAAAGTCAACCATGAAACTATTAAATATGCAAGAATTAAAATGCTGCTGAGGAAATCACTGAATAATTCAGGAGTCCTTAGTGTCTAAGACTTTTCTCTAAGAAAAATTCTCTCTAGCACTCAAAGTTTTCACACAAATTCCAGGTACCTTGTCTCTGCATAAAAATTTTCTGTTATATTATCTTTCATTTATGAAACAAAATGGCCATTTCAATATTATGGAGGAAAATAAAAATATGCTTAGACTTCCTGATAAAAAATATTTCAAATTAACAAAATATGCCTATTATTTTCAAAAGTTGACATTATTTTGAGTCACATTAAAATATCATGATTTACATTTATATGACACTAAATGTTTCAATAAAAGTTCATCATCTACATATGTGCAAAATATCTGAGAATTATATAAATAAATACACACCCTGATGAACAACTGAAGAAAATTCATGAAAAATGGAATAAAGTGATTGTTTTGGTATTATGCACATACTTACATACGTATATGAATTTGAGATGATTCTTAGAACTATTCTTTCATTGATTATCACTTCAAAAAATTCCTGTTTTGAGTTTCCTTAACATAATTTGAAGAACTAATTTTAATTGTTTAAATAATTTCAGAGTTCATGAAATTTTTACTTTAACCTCCTTAGGCAGGAACCCAAAAGAAGTCATTAAGGTTCCTTTTTATTTATATATGAAAAATAAATAAAACAAGTATTAATCAGCTGGCTATAAGCTAATATTGAGCTAACCTTTCTGAAGGATATTATGTACAGAACTAAACCATGGACAAGGAAGTATTTTGAGTAAGGGGGTCAACATAAGAAAGTCTATCCTAAATAATCTCTTCAAGGAGCAATTATGCCTTGAATGGTTTCATTATGTTATCAAAAACCACACTTCTAAAGTTCATGGGCTCCTTAACGTTTTATAAAAAATTCCTAGGAGACTAAGTTAGGGGTATTAAATAGTTCTGGTAAACTTCAAAATGTTAACAAATTTTCTTGAGATTTCATTGGTGTAAAGTATTTGGAGATGGTTCAATAAATACTGCTTTTTATTGAACACTTCAGTTAAGCCCTTGCTAAAGATCAACTATTCACCGCTAAGACCCAGTTACTCTGGTTCTGATCTTTACAGGGAAAATGGAAAACAAGTAAAGGTAGCAAGTGTCAAAGCACGCACACACACACACACACACACACACACACATACACACACACTCAGTGCTCTGTTTCCATTTTGTTTGTGTTTAATTATTATTCATCGTTCCTGAATTCCAACAAGGATGGCAATGCTTATTTTTCAAAAGGTTAACTCTGTTTTATTGGAAATCATTGCTCAGGACTTAATAATTTAAAGTATGTGCTATAAAGTCTGAGATCATATATTACTATAACCAAATACAAGAACAAAAATAAACTACTATCATCCATTAAAAATGTTTTTCCTTGTCTCTATTAAAGTTGGGAATTATCCAAAAGAAATATTTTAGCTTAGTTTTTCTTGAACTATCTAAATTATGTTTCCTAATTCTACTAGAACCCAAATAGAAAGTCATGCCTGCTACAGAAAAAAATTCTATCAACCATTCCAAACAAGTTTTAATTTATCTATCCATTCATTTATTCAGGCCAGATTTTCATTACCAGGCAAAATCCAAGACCCTCCGCTGAAGACATGTGTCTTTTGCTTGCTAATGCTTTAGAATTGTATGTAAAAGATAAATTGGTTATCTAAATTAGCTAAATGGAAGTAGTCAAATTGATCCATGGGTATGAGAAGCAGATAATTACTCCAGAAAATGGAAATACCATATGACATCATCTGACCCCAAACTTCAGGAGTTTCCTGACCCCTACACTGAATAAGCATGGAGATATATTAACGACCTCAGGGAAAGAAAGATCAAGTTTCTTATCTATTACTAATTTATTAATGAAGCATTAATATGAACTTTCATTAATGCTTTTATTCTTCCAAATATGCTGCCTTCCAAGTACTACTAACACTTATGTATAAGAAGCTAATAGTCAAAAAAATTGTTACAAACTATTTAAAAAGGCTCTATTTCTCAAAAAAAAAAAAAAAGGACATTGCTGAAATAAAAAAGCCAACATCTGGCCTACAAGAGAATCTTATTTTAGGAATATGAGTCACATACTCATTAACCTTAATCAGAAAATAAAAACAATTTTAACTCTAACTACCCCAGCTGCCTATGTTATCACCAAGACCTGCAGGTTACTGCAGAGGCGGCAGGGATATTGAACAAACAGGCCTCCTCTGCCCACCCCAACCTATCCAAATGATTAAAAAAAAAAAAGTAAGTGATTAGAATGTTATCAAACCAGCAAAAGACGAATTTTAGTAAAACAATTTAATAAATGCAATACAATGGTTTTTTTTTCTATGCTCTAATTGGTTGATCTGTGTGTTACTGGCCTCTTAACTCATCATCCACATAGCAGGCTCACAGTATTGTGCATGTATTTAAAGATGGACACGTACATGGGTACAGCCTTGATTACTAAGCATATAATTGATGCAATAGTAAATACTTCTAACAAGATGAATATAAAAAGGAGCTTCCAACTTGCTATTTATAATTCGACCTGATTCCACCACTATAATGACTGTCCTTTGCCTCAACAAAATAAAGGTTTACTCTGATTGTATCTGTTTCTCAATGCCCCAAAGAAGAAGTCAACTGACAATGCCACTTGACATTTGAGGGTTTGTAGGCTGTGTAGATGAGCAAAAAAAATAAGCAAAATACATAGAGGAACTAAGGGGGAATATTCTCAATGAGAAAGTAACAGGAGTTATCTTATCATCCTTTTTCCAAACTTGGTGTTTCAAATATTACCTAAAAATTGACAATACAAAATTTCTATCTCCAGTCTGGACCACACCCCTTCATAACTGGTCAGGTGTTATCCCTGGACATTTGCACATCTCAACTTGCTGCTTCTAATACACAGAAACTATTACTCTGGCTCCTTCAGACATTTCCTACTTCTATTACATTTCTGTGTTGGCCTTATGTCCATAGCACTACTCATGCAACTGGACTATTAAGATTTTCTTTGCCAGTTCATGTATTCTGTGTAAAACACTGAAATATTTAGGTACTGCAGACTTCTTTTAATATTATGTAGTGAATACTGATGCATACACTTTAACATTTACCAAGAAGTCAGCTGTCACTCTGAAGGCTCTGGAAGACAGGTGACAACACCATAATCCTTCTTGCTTCCATTCTAGCATATTTTCTAATTTTCTTACAGGTCTTCCAGGCCTAATCAGTGATTTACCTAGACTATAATCATTCCACTACCATCCCTCCCCACAAATTGTTACACTCATGGGAAATTTTTAAATTTCCCTACATCAAAATAATTAAACAAAAACACATCACTCTAGTTAGTATACACAACATACAATTTCAAACATTGTTCTGAAGAAAATTTAAACTAGAGATTAATCTATCTACATTTACATTTTTATAATATGTACATAACTTATATTTGATGCACTAAAGATATCAACTCTTATAAACAGGATTTATGAGCAAGAGATAGTTATTTTTTTTAGAAAATTACTAGCCAATTTTATAATAAAACATTCCTTGAGAATTACAGATCATATTAAGAAACTAGAGCTAGGATTTGTATTCCTGATTTCAAATGACTATATACTTAAACATACTATATTCTTTCTTCTCTATATCATTAGTTGATATTTTCTGAATATCAAATTTTACTAGGATGTTTCAATTTGAAACAACTATAACTGAATTTACTTCGGAGGTACCAACCAAAGCCAGTTAAGATTGAGGTTACCTTTTAGAAAGTGTCCCAGTAAAATCTGCCAACTCCAAAGAGGTATCCATTTCATTGCTATGGCAAACAGTCATTTATAATAATCTTATATTTATATGTGGCCCATTTTTGCTTTTCTTACTGAAATTCAAGTAAATAGCATTCTACTAATTCATAATAAAGGTCAAGAGAAACTAAATTCTTTCAAGCTGAGGAAAGTGCTACATAGAAATGAAATAATCCTTTCTCCTGCTGGTTGACAAGGTGCATTGTCTGGAGTGTTCCAGCTACTTCAAGGCTACAAGAGTCACGGGCACTGGCTGTTGTCACAATTCTAAAAATTCATCTCATGCCACACTCTCCACCCTGGAAACAAAAGGTTCTCCTCCGTAGCTCTAAATATTTACAGCAAACAATAACTCCTTCGAAGTCAGACATAACACCATCAAAAATATAAACTTTCCTCCAAAACAGAGTCATGTAAAATGTTGAAGGAAATGCAGGACCTCCAGGTAAATTTCCCCATTTCCCTAACAAAGAATGCCACACAGTTCCAGTTCCCTCCTGATTCTTTCTGTTTTTGCTGTTCAAAAAAAGAAAAGTAACCACAGAAAATCAAGCTGGGAAGGGCAAGCAGGGCTGAGCCTGCTGGAATCTGGAAAGCCCACAGTGGGTCAAATGCCTGGAACCCCTTTTGCTTAGACCAGGAAACTCACAAGAGCACTCTTCCCATTCTCTTCACAAATAGAAGAAAAATGAGAGGAATCTGATATGATCTTCAGAAAAAATCCAGAACACATTACCATAATGCAAATATTTTCATTAACACATTTAGCCATCATGTTTTGATAATGCACAAATCAGGCACTGATGAATAACTTGCAGAAAAAGATACATTTTTTTCTTTAACTTTCTTTTTATTTTCAATAAGTCACACCTATTTTCACTGGATTATTGCTTCCAAGGCACAGTTTTCTTCACATCACATCCCTGCTCAAAAGGCTTCCTGCTCTCCCCACAACAAAGCAGTTTTGGCAACTTCACAGTTTACCATTTCACACATAAACACTGCACATTATCCAGGTAATTAATCTCACTAAATCTCAACAGAGCTTCTCTTCATTATTGCTTCTGATCCTCTCAACAAGTGGAATGCTATTACTCTTTTTGCCTGCCCACTGCAAGAGCACGATTCTCCCAGTAGCAGACTCTGAAATAGGATTCAGGCTGTCAAACATCTATTAGAGAACACCCTTGAGATTCAAATCCAAGGAAGGAATAGGGAGGATTTGGAGTTTGGCGAAGAGCAGAGTTGAGGTATGACACAGTCCAGTAACAGTTTTGGCCACCAGCTTAGAGATTTGCAGCTAAAACGAAATGTCAGAGTTGTCCCTGGTAAGTTAAAATGCTGACTGCTTAAATCTTCCCAACATCACTCACTAAAAATTGGCCACTATGGGAAAGGAATAAGCTTGCAAAGAGTGACCCTCTCAAACACAGCTGGCAGAGCAGGTATTCATTCAAGGGAGATATGGGGAGTGTTATCATTCCATCCACTATTTTACTGATCTAACTGTCTCACACTTCAAGTCCTAACTCTAGTCAGTCCCTACATAGTATATTTCCATACACATTCATAACACTACTACGTAACAAAAGTTCATTGTATTATATAACATGGCAAAACATTAATTTCCAAATTCTACACTAGAGAATAAGGACCATCAGTCTTATTCTCACAACGTCTTATTAAGAGGTAAATAAACATTACACATTGAAATGTGAGGTTTGGCAAATTACTTTGCTGTCAGTTGTAAATACTATTGTCACAATTCTTTAAAATTATTAAAACTGGTTGGAGATTTCCCTTAACACTTAAGACACCCATGTTCCATACTGAATTGCCTCAGTTCCATTTTTGCTTCAATCCCTAACTCCAGCATTCTGCAAATACAGACCCTAATAAGTAGTAGTGATGGCTCAAGTAATTCCGTTACTGTCACCCATGTAAGAGACTTTAATTGAGTTCCTACCTTCCAGCTTCTGCTTATACTAGCCTGGAATACAAGCATGTAGAAGTATACCAGCTGATGGGAGGTTGCTCTCTTTCTTTCTGTCAATAAATCAACTTGAACAATAAATTAATTAATGTTTAAAACTGTAAAAAAAAGCCTTTATGGTTCATTATTTATATAAAAACAGATCAGATATGGCCTATAGGCTCTCTTTTGTATATTTCCACTTGAGGTAACTCATAAGAAGTTTGATAAAAATCACAACTGTAAACCATATAAGCAATTTGAAATAACTAACAGTCAGATTAAAAAAAAAAGCATTTGAGAGAAACAACATGGCAGAATAGGGTAAGGACACATTTAAACAGTCAGAGAAACATTTAACAGGGATGATAGGGATGAAGCAGAAAGGATACATTCCAGGAAATAGAAGAGGACAGAACAGCAGCAGAGGGGTACCTGGAGACTAACAGATGCAGGAAAGCAGCAAAAACAACAGTGTGGTGTTGCAGTGACTGATACTCCAGCAGCATTCAGCTAATGGCCATCTGAGCTCTACCAGCAGCTGGAAATCCACCAGCAACCAGCTGGGAAGGGACTTTCACTGGGAGCTTGGGAGGTAAAGCCAGACAAAGAACTGTCCATCCTGCTGATTCATTTGATTTGACCAGGAGCAGAGACACAGCAGCAGATCCCAGACAGAGCGAGAACAGGGTGGATTTCACAGCCCAGTCAACTCCCAAGAGCTGAATTGGGTGCCATTTTGCTGAAGGAGGCAAAGGCAAGGGAAAGCACTGAGCATATGCTGAGCTGGGAGTGAACTCATTTCTGACTCAGTGAACTGCAGCAACATGGCATTCTTCAGGTGTCACCCAAGATAGGTCTGGGTAGCACTCAATCTGACGGCCAGCAGATCAAGAACTCTTGTAGTGGCACATCAGGCGCCATTTTGTACAGTGTGGCAAAATCTTTAGGACTGCAGGGGACAACAGTCACCTGCACATGTGCTGAGCTTGCAAGAACTCACTGGGTTCCATGGATTGCACTGATCGTGCAGGGAAATACTGACTGTGGCATCCTATGAGTCAAATTAGGTCCGTGTGGCACCCTGACCTAATGGCCAACAGGTTCCAGCAAGATCAGCACCACCAACAATCTAGCTATATAGGACACCGGGTATCTCCCTAATCCTGGGACCTGCTTCAACCAGAAGTGGGAGAAAGGTTGCAGAGACAACAATGTAACCTCAACATGGTATCACAGGAGTTGGAGATTGTGAGCCAGGAGCGGGGCTGTAGAGACCACGGTGGAAATCTAACATAAGAATCTAGACCTGGAACTTGGTGGAGGGAGTGGCACAATTGGCTGCAAGCAAAGAGCTGGGTATCAACTGCAATAAGTAAAATCCAACTGTACAACTGTTGGTGACACAGCTTAGACACTTGCCCCAAGGAGAAGACTCTGCTAGCCAGAAGTACAATGACCAAGAGCAAAAGAAGACACGCAGGCACAATTAGTATTACTGAAAACTCCCCTGCAAATGGGGAGCAAAACCCTATGCCAACCTCAGAGTTCACTGAGGAAGACATTGAGAAAACGGGGGACACAGAATTCAGAAAACTCACTATAAAGCTTCTGATGAACAATGAGAAGCACATACAACAGTTCAAAGAATTTAAAGAAGCAAGAAAGCAAATCAAAGCTGATATATCAGAAATTATGAACACAGAAGAGCAAATTAAAAGTACAATGGAGAGTCTCTAAAATAGAATGAAGCAAGCAGAAGAAAGAATCTCAGAATTGGAAGATATTTCCTGTCATCAGGGGGAAGCAAACAAAAAGCTGGAAACAGAGCTAGATCAGGCCAAAAAGAGTATTCAAGAATTGAAAGACACTATTAAGAGGCCTAATATAAGAGTTATGGAAGTCCCAGAAGGTGCAGAAAGAGAAACTGGTTTTACAAATATAGTTAATGAAATAATAAGGGAAAATTTCCCTAATCTAGAGAAAGAATTGGGAAACAACATGCAGAAGTTGCACAGAACTCCCAACAGGCTTGAAAAAAGCAATCTTCACCATGGCATATGATCATCAAGCTCTCTTTAATTGAACATAAGGAAAAGATCCTTATATGTGCACAGGAAAAAAAATCAATTGACATACAAAGGAAGGCCAATGAAACTCACAGGGGACTTCTCACTGGAAATTTTACAGGCCAGAGAGAATGGAGTGACATATTCCAGATTCTAAAAGAAAAAAATTGGTTGCCCAGGATAACATATCTAGCACAGCTTTCTTTTGTCTTTGAAAATGAAATAAAAGTCTTCCATAGTCAAGAGAAGTTAAAAGAATATGCCTCTTCCAAAACTTCCCTACAAATGATAGTTCAAATGATAGTTCAAGACAAAGAAGAGCAATAGCACCCACCAAAACCAAAGGCAAATGGGAAGAACATTCCAGTAAAAGGACAACAGAAAACTAAGCCAATGAACAACCCATTGCTAAAATAACAGAAGCAAATTAGCACCTACTTGTATTCACCCTGAATGTAAACAGCTTAAATTCATAAATCAAACATCATATATTAGTAGATTAGATTAAAAAGCAAAACCCATCTATTTGTTGTCTACAGGTGATATATCTCACCCACAAAGATCAGCAGAAGCTATATCTCATGGATTTTGATGATTTTGTTTTTGTTAATTTCACCTCTTCTAAACACTTTCTTCTGATTAAATTACTCAAAGACTGATAGATCATACACTAGCATCATTTTCTTGAAGAAGGTTCTTGATTTTCATTTCTTCAGCTACACATTAGTCATTTAGTAGCATGTTATTTAACTTCGTGGTGTTGTTAATTTCTTTTTTCTTCCTGATGTTGATTTTGTTTTATGGCTCTTCATTTAAGGGGATGTATGGTAGCTGTGAAATGGAGACTGTCATATCTAGTAACATGTTATTTAACTCCATGGCATTGTAAACTTCTATTTTCCTCCTATTGCTGATTTTATACTGTGACTTTTCATTTAAGGGGATGTACAGTAACTGTGAAATGGAAACTAACATATCTAGATGTGAGGATACAATGTAGTATGCATTTCTACTTCCAGACAAAGATGGACTTGCAATGAAACTGTTTACTATATCTTGACAATAGGATGCTGGACTTTCTGCCATTGTCCATGCCTGCAATGATGGACATATAACTGTATATGAAGAACTATACTTTAGTAATGATACAGGGGAACTAGGTGGGGAGGAATTGGTGAGGGATTAAGGGTATTCCAGGAGCCTCTTTAACTGTATCATAAAATGATAATAAGAATAATAAATAAAAAGATTAAAAATAATAAGAATTTAAAAAGTATTTGTTAAATTGAAAGACAGAATTATGGGGAATATGAGAGACAGAGAGAGAATCTACTATTCACCAGTTAACTCTCCAATGACCACATCAGGCAAGGCTTGGCCAGATGGAAGTCAGGAACCAGCAGATTTTATCCAGATCTCCAATGTGTGTTCAGGGTTCTAGAACTTTGGCCATCATCTGCTGCTTTCTCAAGTGCAATAGCAGGGTGCTAGATGGGAAGTGCAACAAGCCCAGACATAAACTGGTGCCCATGGTAGCTTCAGAAGCAGTGGCTTAACCTACTACATTGCAACATTGGTCGTAACTAGCCACATTTTTAAAAACAAGGAGAAATTGTAATGGCTTGTTTAATCAAAATATCAAAAATCAAAAATATCCTCCTCTCTATATGAAAGAAACATGAAAATACTAATGACTTAGTACATTTTTAGTTTTTAAAACCTAATATGTACTGCATATTTCAAATTGGATTAATCACATAATAACATGACGAACAAGGAAGGATGATATTTCATTTAATAAATAGAAATTTGTTAATTTAAATGTCATTTAGCTAATTCTATCTGCTGAGAATACAACGCAATTATTTTTTAACTAGATTTTCGAACATTTAAAAATGTCTTTCCTCAGTTTTTTTCTTTCTTGTCTGCCCTTCCAGTTGCTCATTTTGTTTCCCTTCCCCTAACATGGTATATAAAATACACCACTTCCACCATTTCCTCGGGTCTTTCCTCCATTGGAGCCCACTCTTGTTATTATGGCATGAGACATCTCTCTCTCTCACTCTTAAATGAATCTTGCCTTTCACAGCGGAAAAGAAAAAAAAAAGGAAAGAAACAAAAAGAAGTCTTTCTTTAAATATCCCTGCGCACTAGAAAAAAGTTTATCTTAATTCTGGATAAAAAGTATATAATCTATCATGATGAACTGATTAAGCTATTTAATAAAAAATACTACATTAATGGTTTGTTTCTCAAAATACATTTTAATCTTCAACCATGGGTGCAATTTTCTCTTTCTTTTAACACAGTCCTCATTCTTAAGGGTCAAGTGCTTCATAAGGCAAAAACAGTGTCTAAAATCTCAATCAAATACTCAGAGAGATTTTTCTTGCTTTTGTACTAGAGAATTTCACAGTCCTACAGACGATATAACTGCAGTAAAATAGCCTTAGCTGCATAGTACTGTTCTTAAGGAAAAGGATCAGTACTTCTTTCTCCCAAAACAGAAGGAATACTAAAACAGAAGCTGAATATTTTATAAAATACAAAAATTAGCATTTTCATCAATCCCTAACTCCTAAACCTAGTAAACTTCCAACACGTTTAGCTTTTAATAATATTGGCAAAAGCAACAATCAGCAATTTTTTTTTTTTTGTCTACTGACATTTCATGATTGTATGCTATCTGATTGTCCTGGAATAATCCCATAGATTTTACTAATTGTAAAATATGAACTTCACTGTTGAAACAGAAAAAAGAGAAAACTTAATTTTCTAACTAGTAATTTAAATCTTATTAATCCAAGGTAATTTAATTAAAGCAAGTTTATAATTAAATTTTCTTCTTACTAGAGACATGTATATTACAATATACATAGATAGAGAATACATATAAATTTAAAATTGCATTACCAGCCTAATTTAGTCAGGATTTATATATATATATATATATATATATATATATATATATTTCTCACACAGGAGAAAGATTGCTAAGAAAGAAACAGGGCAAGAAGTGATTTGTAGTCTCTCAAAATCATTAATAACACATATAGATTATCTT